TAACCAGAAGGCTGGCGGTTCAAACCCACCAGCCACTCCTCGGAAGGAAGGTTGGGCATTCCTACTTCCGTAGTGATACTGCCTCGGAAACCCAACGAGCCGTCACTATGAGTCAGGGCCGACTCGATGGCAAATAACAACAACAACAACATAGATGTATATGAGCCAACAAATGTCAGGACAGATGATCTTTCTCACACTCATTTCCTTTTCAAAAAAGTCCTGAAAATCAGAGTAACACACTAATATTTCATCAGTGTTTTTCAGGCCTGAGCTATTTTAAGACTGTTATTACCAAGTAAATGTTCAAAGAATGATAAGTAATCTGGACACACTATTTTTTTTTCCTTATATTTTTTTCCTAGGAAAGCTTAAAAAGTTATCAGTAAGTAAAAATAAATGTCAAGAAAGTATTTCCAATGTTAGGAGAAAAGATAAGTTAGTTTCTTAAAATTTTTAACCTGGAATATGTATCAATTTAAGCATAGACATGACTGTTCTAAGAAGTACTTAAGGAAAGAAAACATGTTTTTGTTCATCTTGTATGTGTTTTATACCTGCATATCTGTGCAAAAACTCTTACCGATTCATTAAAGTGCAGTTGACCTTTGGGTTGTTCAGTTCACTTTTTCTGTTCTGTAGTTGGCTCATACTGGAAGCCGAGCAATTCACTTAACATTTGTTATTAACTGGTAGTTTGTTCTCTTATGATGTTGGGACCTTTTGGCCAAACTTTATGAATCCCTAAAGCTTATGTTACTTTTCTTGGAGGAAAAATTAAGCTTATGCTTCTGAATTCAAATAGATGTAAATGGAATGGGAAAGGAAGGAAAAGATACTGTGGATGATTTAGAAAGGCTCAGAATCTTTTCCCCAGAATCTTTTTTTAGAAAAGGATAGCTGCCCATTCATGAATTTGGATAGGAATGGGGCAGATTTCAGTACAATTAAATTATTGTCTGCCACTTTAAAATGTTTTTTATTTACTCAAATTATTAATAAAACAATGAGGTTTTTACTTGTCTGAAGTATATTATTGCATTGTATCCCCAGTTTTTATCCATCCATGTATTCATGACCTTTACAGTGTGACTTTGCAGCTCCTTCAGCTGAGAGCTTGAGTTTATTTACCTACCCCTTAAATTTGGACTGGCCTCATGGCTTGTTTTGCCAATAGAATGCAGAGAAATAATAGTATACCAGTTCTGAGTAGACTTCCAGAGGCCTCACTGGATGATGAGAGACATGTGGCCCAGCCTCCTCTGTTGCATAAGCTAAGTAGCCAGTAAGCAGCCAGACATGTGAGGCAATGCTAGAGTAGCTGTCCTCTGACAGCTGACTACAGATGTGTGAGCAAACTGAACCAAGATCAGCCAAGCCTGGCCTAGATCAGCAGAAACACCTAGTTGACCCATAGACTTGATATGTTGTTGTTAGGTGTCATCCAGTCAGTTCTGACTCATAGCGATCCTGTGTGGTGATGGGGTTAGTTGCTATTTAGTCATAGTGATACTGTGTTCAACAAAACAAAAGACTGCCTGGTCCTGCACCATCCTTACAGTCTTTACTGTGCTTGAGCCCAACATCATAGCCACCGTCAGTCCATCTTTTTGAGGGTCTTCCCTTTTTTTACTGACCCTCTATTTTACCAAGCATGATGTCCTTCACCAGAGACTGGTGTCTTGTAACAACCTGACCAACGTATGTGAGGCAGAGTCAGGCCATTCTGGCTTCTAAGGAGCATTCTGGCTGTACTTCTTCCAAGACAGATTTGTTGGTTCTTCTGGCAGTCTATGGTGGTTTCAGTTTTCTTCACCAGTACCACAATTCAAATGCATCAGTTTTCCAATCTTCCTTACTCATTATCCACGTTTCAAATACATGTGAGGCTTTTGAAAATACCATCACTTGGGTAAGGCACACCTTAGTCTTCACTTTTTAAAAAAAAAAAAAAAACACTTTAAAGAAGTCTTTTGCAACACATTTGCCCAATGCAGTACATCTTTTGATTTCTTTTTATTTTTCTCTCTTTCTGACACACACCTTGGAAAGCAATTATTATTATTTTTTAATTGTGATTTACAAAGCAGATTCATTTTACTCTCAAGAATTCATGCACATGTGGTTCCATGGCCTTGATTACAATCCCAACAATAAAAAGCTCTCCTCCCATCTCCTCCCTATGACCACCACTTACCTGTGTCCTTAACTATACATTCCTATCTCTCTGTTGTTGTTAAGTGCCGTCAAGTCGTTTCCGACTCATAGCGACCCCATGCACAGCAGAACGAAACACTGCCCGATCCCGCGCCAGCCCCACCATCCCTGCCATACTTGAGCCCATCATCGCAGCCGCTGTGTCAATCCATCTCGTTGAAGGCCTCCCCCTCTTTCGTCGACCCTCCACCCTACCAAGCATGACATCCTTCTCCAGGGAAAGGTCCCTTCTTACAACATGACCAAAACAGGTGAGACGAAGTCTGGCCATTCTTGCTTCCAAGGAGCATTCTGGCTGCACTTCCTCC